TGTTAAAATCAACACACTCCTCCCTGGGCAAAACATGGAAAATTCCTGAGGAAAGAGAGCCCTGGAAGAAATCATCTCGGACATCCTCAAGCTGGGAATAGAATCAGTGTCAGAATCTATCCTCCAATCTTTCTTCTCACTACAGACATACAGAACTGTTAATTCATAAGGACTATACAAGGATACTATTCATAAGGACCTTAATATTACCTTAAGGTATGTGACCTTACATAGGTCGTTTTACATATGCAGTAATATATATTTACTCTTTCCTTTAAAATAATTTTGTTTACTTGTTAAGTTATTCTGGATGTCTTAAATCCCCTTTTTTGTACTGTTTAAAGGAGAAAATAAATGAATGAACACAGTTAAATTTGGTACTTAATTCTAAGTTCCACTGATGGGTTGTTCGGATATTTTTAAATTCACTTATATTAATGTTGATATGGTTGTACTAAACAGTATATGGAATAGATCTAAATAATTATTTAATTTAAATTAAGTTTTTTAATTTTAAATGGCTACTTAGTTTTCGATATAACAATGTAGTAGTTCTGTGACGCAGTGAATTCAGTAATGGTGTGCACCACTGAACCTCTCGAATGTAACCTTATTTTTGGCGTAGTATCCAACTTCCAGGTATTTTTTGTTCACAGCCCCCTTTTGATTTCTTTTAGTGTCCTATATCCTTGCAACAGTAGTGTATCAGATGTCTAATGAATGCAATCTGTAAGCACTGACTGTATACAGATACAAATTTAGGATGTTTATTGCATTTTCCCAGTATCACAGATTCCAGGCATGACATGCACAGAGGTTTATGCTAAAAGAACATGATGTATGCATACAGGATATTACTACATTAGCAGTATATAATATAGACTTGTGGTCATATTTTTAAAATTTAAGACTCCTAGTATGTAACTTTGAAACCTTGGAATAAAAATAAGATTTATATATAACTTGGACCCACATATGTGAAGAATAGACTGATGTCACTTCATATAACTCTTTCAAAGACGCCTAGACATAAGATTTGTAAAAACAAATAAGCCTCCAACTTCCAGGTATTACAGATCTAAATTTCTGCTTAAAAAATGCTTAAGTAATTGAACTTTCTAACTGACCTTATTACTCACTTGCTTCTCAATGCTTTTTTACTGGCATTTGAACCAGAAATGCACCCTAGGTCTCCTATGTGCTCATGATGGGAAAACTACCATGTATACCAGTACTGCCTGTTCTCATAAGTATTATATTACAAAGTAGAGCCACAAAAATGTTTCCAGTTAAAGGTCTCAAAGGAAGGGGGAAAAAAAAAAAAAAAAAAAAAAAAAGATCTGTAGCTATTGGCTAAAGGTCAGGTTGCTGGTGAAAGTCTTAAACTCATCAAATTGAAAGATAAAATTGTTATTAATAATAAACCGGAAAATGATCAGGTATTTGTTAAATCAATGCTTATTTCTTTATCTGAAGAAAAAAATTCCACAGAAGAATTAGAAAAACTTAAACTAGAAAAAGAACATGAATTATGAACTGCTACAGTTCCATCTAATTCCAAACTTTCTGAAAGCACATCATTAGAAAATGTAATTAAAAGCATTAGAAACTTTAATTATATTCGTTCTGATTAGTTTCGTATCATGGACACTTCATTTTCCTTCACTAAAGGAAACATTTAAGATTCAAAATGCTTCAGAAGAGTGCAATGCTGAAATTTTAAAACTTATTGGGTGAAAATGCTTATTGGGTAAAAACTTATTGGGTGAAATTTAAATTAGTGAAGGTAATGTCAAAAATTATGAAGTTTTTAAAGTCTTAAACTAACACTAGCCAACTGCTCAAGTATCTTAACATACAAGAAAGTACTATTGTATGTTAAGGAATGTGAATAGTTTAAATGCAGTTCATTAATTAACTGTAGCTGATAAATTAACATAAACACTTGCTCATGAGACAGCCAAAGAGAAAATTATAATTGGTTAAAACCTCCGAAAAGTGGAAAAGTGTGCGAGACATATCTGCTTGCAAAAGAAAATCATTACATGAGACTGGTAACTAGTCTAAAAAAAGTGCCAAATATTAAAACTAACACTAGCCAAACCCTGTCCTGGTTACGTACCCCCTTCAATGAAAAAACATAATGGTTTTTCCCAAAATAACACAGTAAAAAATCGCTATATTTGTGGATCTTTACAACATATAGCTAAAGATTGTCAGAAGACATTTAAATGAGAGAATCAAAAACCAAGTAATTCTGATAGCATTAAATTATGGCAAAATGAAACTGTTGTAGTCAAGGTCAATACAGAATGCATCAACAAGAAACGAACTGAAACTCAGCTTTTCTGACAAGAGATACAAAGAAAAGCAGACTTAAAACTGAGAAAGTAAAAGAATCATTCTACAGACCTATTTTAAATCCTTAAAGATTTCTTCTATGCTCCAAATTAGATGAGAAAAATGTCTTAACCATATCCATAATATGACAAATATTCTGATGAATCTACAACAAAAACTTGACTGCTGTGCATTTTTAAAATTAAGAATATTTGGAATTTTTAATTTCTTTTAACATAGAATTTACATTAGTTAATGTGTATATTCTTATACCATATTTAAAATCATAATGCATAATAAATTTATTTGTAGTTTTTTAGTTTTAGTTTTTAACATGCTCTTTTTTTAACAAACTATTATAGGTTTTTTTCAAATCAAAATTAGAAATATCACTGTCCATAATAAAAATAATAATGTGTGTCGTAATAAAATATAACATGGCCATCAACATCCAAGCATGGTTAGCAGAATTTTCAGAACTGTCATATCTTACATAACTTTGACACATTTTACTTGATTGTAATAACAACATTCAAGGTAAGTTTTTTTTTCTTTTCATTATTCTTATTGAATGTGCAACTGGCATGATAAACTGCTTTGTGATTTAATTTCTGGGCATGCTTCAGCAAGGATTATTTCATAGCCCATTTGGAAAGTAAATACTGCATTTATAAAATAATTAAAAAACGTTTATTTTTTAAAACCTTTTTTTTCCCCTGACCTATCATTGTTAACACTGTTAAGAGTGATTTATCACCTCCAGCAAATTTAAAATATTACACAAGAGCCAATTAATTATTTCATGGATGGCTTTCTGTTGAAAGAAATTACATTGACAGCATTTTCTTCAACTTCCATATTACCACAGATGCTTTTGTAAAGAACTGCATAAAACTATAAATTAAATTTTTACATTAAAAAAATTGGCGTTTCAAGATTTTTAAAACAGTAGTCAAGAACTAAAGGAAGAGGGTAATGCTCAAAATAATGGTGAAGGATTGCTTTGATACTTTACGTTTAAATTTAAATTCTGTTATTATATTGTAAGCACAAAACTGTAAATCTAGACGTTCACTTTTATGAAAGTTTATGTATACTTTTAGATATGCGTGATCCTGGATGCATGTACTAAATATGACAATAACGGATAACAATAGTATAAGACAAATATACTGAAATGACAAAAGTCATGGGATACCTCCTAATATTTTGTTGGTCCTCCTTTTGCCCGGCGAAGTGCAGCAACTCAAGGTGGCATGGACTCAACAAGTTGTTGGAAGTCCCCTGCAGGAATACTGAGCCATGCTGCCTCTATAGACATCCATAATTGTGAAAGTGTTGATGGTGCAGGGTTTTGGGCACGAACTGACCTCTCAATGATGTCCCATAAATGTTCAATGGGATTCATGTCGGGCGATCTATGTGGCCAGATCATTCGCTGGAATTGTCCAGAATGTTCTTCTAACCAATCGCGAACAATTGTGGCCCGGTGAAGTGGCACATTGTCATCCATAAAAATCCCATCGTTGTTTGAGTACGTGAAGTCCATGAATGGCTGTAAGTGATCTCCAAGTAGGTGAAGGTATCCATTTGGAGTCAATGATTGGTTCAGTTGCACCAGAGGACTAAGTCCATGCCATGTAAAAACAGCCCAGACTATTATGGAACCACCACCAGCTTGAACAGTGCCTTGTTGACAACTTGGGTCCATGGCTTCGTGCTGTCTGCGCCACACTCGAACCCTACCATCAGCTCTTACGAACTGAAATCGTGACTCATCTGACCAAGCCACGATTTTCCATTCTTTTAGGGACCAACCGATATGCTCACGAGCCCACGAGAGTCGCTGCAGGCGATGTCGTGCTGTAAGTAAAGGCACTCGAGTCGGTCTTCTGCTGGCATAGCCCAAGGAAGAAAAATTTCACCACACTGTCTAATCAGACACGTCCCTCGTATGTCCCACATTGATTTCTGCAGTTATTTGACGCAGTGTTGCTTGTCTGTGAACATTGACAACTCTACGCAGACGTCGCTGGTCTCGGTCGTTAAGTGCAGGTGGTCGGCCACTGCGATGTCCATGGTGGGATGTTATGCCTGAAATTAGATACTCTCGGCACACCCTTGACACTGTGGATCTCGCGTGATCCGGAATGTTGAATTCCCTAACAATATCCGAAATGGAATGACCCATGCGTCTAGCTCCAACTACCATTCTGCATTCAAAGTCTGTTAATTCTCGTCATGCGGCCATAATCACGTCAAAGCCTCTTCACATGAATAACTTGAACACAAATGAAAGCCCTGCCAAAGCACTTCGCATACATTTTCTACGCGATACTACTGCCATCTGTATATCTGCATATTGCTACCCCATGACTTTTGTCACTTCAGTGTATTTAACTGGTTAATTAACAGGCAGTTTCACTTAATTTTAACCTTATTTTTCTGTTAGAAAATGCACACCTTTTTTTTAAAAGAAAATAATGCTTAAATACGAGAGAAATACAATGCATATGTTTTCTGAAATTTAAATTTTTATTAAAACCGAAAATAATAATAGAAGGAAATAATAAATAATAATCAAATATATTAAAATATGACATTTTCTGAAGGAATTAGGTACAACGTATATATTTGAGGGCAATTATTGAAGGACTTACTGAAGGAGTGATCTGATATGCAATGTAACTTTTCAGACCTCTTAATTTGCTTTCTTTTTTTGGCTTAGAAACTGTACAGCTATAGGATTCACCAGATCTTGTCCAAGTTATTACTCCATCTTCTTCCTGATATATGCAAATCAAAATGGCAATCAGAAAAGCATAAATAAAGATTCCAGCAACTTAATTTCTTTTACATATGATTCACATTTATTTTATTTTGGAACTAAGAAACTGTCATGAAGGTATAAGATTCGAACTTTATGACAGATAAGCAAGTTTAATAATTAGAAAATAGTCATACTATGATTTCAACGTAATCTTCAGGTGATACATTAACACTTGTTTCCCCTAAAATAAACATTTCTCCACCAGATTTTACAAATGCGGAAAACCTGAAATATATACAAATGAATATGACTGTAACATGGAAATACAATTCGCATTCAAATAATTAACAGTTTTGTTACATCAAATTCTAAAACCTAAATATCTGCAAACTGCACTAAAATATGCACATTCCTTAAGAAGTGACTGAAATTTAAAGAAAATTGATGCACTTAGAACTAAAGTTTTTAATTCAAACTGTTTTGATCATAGAAGCAGCAAGAACATGTTTTAAAAAAAAGAACACAATTTTCCAGTTTTAGGAAAGAATTAATGTGACGCAACTTGCATCTTGCTTAAAAGTAAACAGTCAGAAAGTGAGAGAAATTTTGATGTAAAAAACTTAAATTTTGTATTTTCCAAATCATTTTTTAAGTTGTTTCTCTTCCCCCCTAATATTTCAGGGTGCCTAGAATTACAGAAAAATACGATGAGAATGAATACAGTATAAACCAAGAAAAGAAATGAATAAAGCAATATACAGGTCCATACAATTAAAAAAGGAAATATAAATTTGATGACTTTTCCTTTTTGATTTAAAAACAAAAATCCAGAATTTCTGTTTAGTTTCTGAATTCAATTACAATAAGAGAAAGATTTAATTCATCCAAAAGGATAATTAAGCAGAAAAATGACTAAACTAAGAATTTCCACAAATTTTTACCGATTGAAACTTTTTTTAATGCCCAGCTTTCCACCTGCATCTCCTCGAGCAATAACAGTTAAGTCTCCAGTGCTGCTACTTTTCTTTTCCATTGAAGGAATTGAAAGAAAACCAGCTTGTGTATCTTTTCCAGTATCACTACCTTTCCCCTAAAATTAAGAAAAATTTACCTTTGAAGAAAATTTGAAGCTGCTAAACTTTTACAATACTTATATAATGTTTATATTATGTACTTTATTCATGTATACAAATTATGGGGACCATGGATAAGTAAAATCTATCACATACAATACATCCTAAATATAGAAAATGATAAAGAGTTTGACAAGGACGAAAAACAAAGTGATGATATCTATAATTTTTGTAACCAGTGCTAAATAAATTCCAAAATGGTCACAAATGGAAAAATAACTCTGTTATTCTTCAATTTATTCAATCAACTTTGAATGTTATACAATTCTATCTCAAAATATTACACATTAAATGTCCTTCATTCTTTTGGCATAGCTATTTTACTATTAAACTAGCATACCATAGACAAGTTTATTATTTAATATTTTAATACACATGTGAAAATTAAATTAATAAGCAAAACATATTAGAATAAGAATGTAATAAATAGTTTCAATGGGCTGGTTACAAATGCATTATATTAAGTTAACATTATTCACTATCGGGAGAACAAATATGTCTCCGCTTTACTTTATAAAAAATTGGGCATTTATTGTGAAAGAACGGTGCGTTATGTTTTATTCAAAGTACTGCTCATCACTAGCCATTCTTTTTCTCCTCTTCCTGGCAGCATGAGGATACCGTGTCAGAATAACACTGCATCTTTCGAGGCTATCCTAAAATCAACCCAATATTTGGTTATCTGCACATGATATGACACTCAGACAAGCCATCAAACCAGGTAGCCATCAATCAAAGCAAGAGTAATCAGAAGGAGCAATTCCTAGTGAATGCAGTGGGAGGGGAAAACTTCTCATTTCAGAGTTCCTGAGTAGGTTTTGACCGGCAGCGCAACATGTGGATAAGCATTATCATGCAGGAGACAAATTTTGTCATGTTTGGAGTAATAATGAGAGCATTTTTCTTCGAGTGCTTGACTCGGTTTTATCAACTGTGTTCGGTAGAGACCTCCAGATATGGTTTTGTTCAGTTTGAACATCTTATAACACGACTACAAGTTGATTCCACCATATACACATGATTTTTTCCCCCATAAATATTCAGCTTGGCTGTCAAAGTTGAAGCATGGCCAGGTGGGCTCCATGATTTCTTCTTTAGATTATCATACTGGATCCATTTTTCATCACAAGTGACTATACAATGAAAAAAAAAAATGCCTTCATTTATGTCTGGCAAACAGCAATTCACATGCAAAAAATCAGCGTTCTATGTTTCCTGGCTTCAGTTCATATAGAACCCGATTTCCTTGCTTCAGAATCATTCCATATTATATATATTGTTCGCAGTAAACAACGCGAAATTGCTTCTTGGGTCACTATAATGTAAGCGTAAGTTTCACTTGCGTTAGGCATGATTCTTCATCCAATAATGCTTCTGATGCTACACCTCTATATACTTTCATCTTTCTGCAACCCTCTTTGTCTTCAACATCAAATTAACCATTCTTAAACTTTTGAAACTACTCACAAAAAATTCTGTCACTTGAAGCAACCTCATATATGCTTCTACAACAATCGATTCACCTCAGCTGAAGATTTTTTCAAATTAAAGATGTAAATCAAAAGTTCTCACAAATGGCACACATTCAGCTCAAAACTCAATACTTTTGCACAAAAAAAATATATGATGTTAACACAAATCGCTAATATTTCACGGTTACATCATTAACAGATATCCAACCTTACACTGTGACGTTTTACAACAGACAAATTTAACCATAACTTACTGGTGGTGCAATTTTTGGTCAAATAGCAGAGATTTGTTTGTATTTCCAATATATTAATTTTAATTCAATATCATTACGTACCTTTTGAATGTTTTATAATACACAGTACAAAATTAAAGTCAAAATTAAAGAAAAAATTCACACTTGATACCTGTCTGAACAGTCTGATTTAGCCATTTTTGTTCATTCTGCCATTCAACTTCTACATCATCACCAAAATATAAAACATTACATTAATCTCATATCTTTATTTATTTTAAATATGCCAAATGTATCTTAACCCCTTTGCGCCGACTGTCACGTCGACGTGCCAGCAACGAACACACTCACTTCCCGGCCGATACGCCAGGCGTGCCAGAGCATTTTCCCGTTCACTACCAACTGCCACGTATTTGTGCCAGCGTCCTGGAACGTTTTTCAAACTATAATTTCTGCCACAAGATGGCACTGTATGTCCATATGGTTTCAGATACATGTACACTAGACCTTCTACTCGAAATGAGAGAAGCATGACTCACATACACGTGTTTTTGATTATATAAACAAAAAGGGGATATAAATGTTTCCGAATGGCGTGATTTATGACGTCTCTTTAAATCGCACGTGGTAGTTGTTTATTTAAGTAGAGAAGTTTTATTTGCGCTAAAGCGTTGGGTATTTTGGTTTGCAGTTCAGTTTTTAGAAAATAATTAGATCTTGTTAGACGTGAATTCTTTCTGTTTTCCGTTGCAATGTCGAAGCATCGAAAATGTTTAACAGAGCATGAAATAGCAGAAATGATGCAAAATATTTCAGATATTGATTCTGATATTCTGATATTGATTCTGAAAGATTAACTGAAAGACATTTTCCAAAACTTTGTTCAGAAGAGACTGATAAGTAAATGAGACGACGATGCTTCGTTTGCTCACATTCCCAGAAAAATCCTCCAAACAGCAAATGAGTTATTACGAGTGCAAGGAATGTAATGTAGGACTGTGTGTAGATCCCTGTTTTCAAATTTTTCATACGGAAAGAAAATTTTAAATAATATATTTAGTTTTCAGATGTATAATGTTTAAGTCATAAAATGGTGAGTAATGAAAATAAAATGTGTAAAATATGCATTTAAACAAGAAATAAGGTAATTAAAGTATATAGTATAAAAATATCTATAAAGCATAAGCCGTTTAAATACTCTATAGAGCATTATTAAACAATGCGTTGATACTTCGGAAATTTCATGGATTTAGGCTTAGTAGAAAAAAGCCCCTGGCCATGGACAGACGCTCGCGTAAGACACTGCCAGCCTCAGCGATAAGCGTGCATTTGCGCTACCCGGCTCGAAGGGGTTAACAAACTTCATTATCAGTATGATTAAAAACTCTTTGCTACAATGAATCCTTCAAATGTACGTTATTTCTACCTAATTTCTGTCCCATAACACAAAATTAATTTCAGCACTAGAAAATCAACTTTTTGTGCATGTATATTTCCCCATGTTAAATCAGGCCATTCTTATGAAAGAAAAGACATTTTTTTCATAGTCTTACATTTTTGTGTTCTTATTGTTTGTTCTTCACAGCTGTCTCTTCATTGTAATTCTTGATGCATCCATTCTACACATTTTATTACCTCTTTACACAACTTGCACGTACATGATAATCCAAGATCGTTTAAAGAAGCGATCTTAAATTAAACTATTCTTAACTTAGACGTTATCTCAACAAGCTACAAAATTATAAGTAGCCAAACTAGTCACACCACCTAAAAACCAAACTTGAATTTGGGTACAAACACGCTACAGAAATTATCTAAAACAAATTTCAATTATCCATCCCTCTTTGGCTACTTGCTGGCCATCAAGAGACAGCTGATCGGTTGACCACAGAGAGATAGATTACACTATAGCTAATACATGTTTTTTTCGTATAGTTACTCAGAAAGCTTTTATTTATTAATTTTTTCCCATTTTAAAAAACAATACTCTTATTAAAATAATCGCAATCTCATTGCTATACAATTTCTCACTTTAGGAATTATGCAGCATTATTTGTTTTTATATTTCTTACAAGTAATAAAATTTCATTGTGTTGGGATGAGCATTTACTGAAAATTTCTCCACTTAAAGAAGCTAACTCATTATTAATTTCATCTGCTACTTATTGTAGAGACTATGTAAAAACTTGGCAATTGTGTAGGAATGAACAATTATCAAGACAGGGCGGTCTAGTGCTCGAATGGATATAAATGCTGAACTTTGGTAGTTTCATCCTGGATCAAATCCCAGTCAACAGACTGAGTGCATGGGTATTTTCTTGATTTTCCCTGTGTATAACATGAATAATTCAAGATACTTCCCCTTAGAAGTCAACCACGGAATTATTCCTCCATGTAGACAAATAGCTTTAGTGTTTTTGGCATAATTCAATAAATCTGAAATTACGATCCATCTGATAAGTTACAGCTTTCATCCTAACAGAAAGTATTACAATTGTATTCATTATACTTACTTGTGAGCTGAAATAAAAACAGTTTCATAATGTTTATTGCTTTTTTTCAACCCAAAGAAAGCCCAGAACAGCTATTATAGTCAGACTATTAGCCCTGAAGAACTATTAGTCTCAAAACGAGATTTTGCATTGAATCACTAAAAGTCTGCATCACTTTTCAAATTGCTGCCATCAAATATTATCACTCTGTATTTTATTTAAAGACATTAAGTAATGAAGAATTTGCATGAATGTATGCATGTTTTTTGCATTGTGAAAAACATAAAGATACCTAGAGCCATCAAATTTTGAATAAGGTAGTCCTCTAACCGAATACGGACATCTGGAAGGCCGAATTTTGAATTTTTTTTATTATGTACTAGCCGTTACATGGCAAGACTTCATCTGGCTTTTAAATGTACCGTAAAAAATGCCTAAAGGGAACACCAAACATTAAATTTAAAAACTGCACAAAATTCTACTCTGCAGAACAACTTTATAAAGGGAAAAAAAAAAAAAAAAAAAACCCACAAATTTCAATAAAAATGTATTATAAACAACCAAAAAATACAATGAAATAAGCAATATGCATTAATACAAATATTAATTATCCTAACAAATAAATCAAACAGCTTCCCATTGCCTTCTCTCAATGAATGTCCAGTATTCAAGAGCAACATTAAATTAAAAAACTATACAGAATTATTCCCCCTCATTTTTTCGAGTGACAACAACAGCGCTGATATCAGCAACAATGGCTGTGTGCCATTGTTGCTGATATAATGAGAGAGAATTATCGATTTGATGTGATTTCATCAAAAAACATAAAACTCATTCGAATTTTGAAAAAAATTGCTTCGAGGTACACTGGTGCTTGTCTAGATGCATCTATGTACCAAATTTTGTAGTCCTGGGTCTATTAGCCTACGCACAGCATGAGTGAAAGACACATGCACAGACAGACTCTTCCTTTTATATATGTAGAATACACTTTATTTCCCAAACAGAAAACTCATTGCTCAATTCTTAAAAAACACATTTAAGATCATTATTAGAAAATTTATACCATTCCTTGTCAGCACACTGTTCACAAAATTAACAGATCCGCAAAATTTACTACAGAACCTGTTTTAATGTCAGGAAACGAAAAATTAATAAATCTTCTATCACCACTTCAGTAATCTTGAAACGTTACTTTTATTAAATTATCCCCTCACCCCAAATTTTTTAGTAAACTAGATTTTTTGAAGACTTTCACATTCCTTAAAATCCTTAACATTGTGATTTTAATCTAATACTTTTCTTTCTTGAAGTGGAGCTTTGCACTATTTATATTCTGATTAACTGGTACTACATTTGTTCTCTTTTTTATTAATTTGCATACTTCAATGATGTACTTTTGGCAAATAGGCACGATTTTTGCTCCCAGTTATAAGAAAGACTCACTATTAAAATACACTACACTTTTATAAAATTGATGTAAATTAATTTTAATCTAATTAAAAGTAAGGCAGGTTAATTTAAAATAGGGTTTTAAGAGAAAGCTAAAATAAAATTCTTAAAAATTCTGCTCAGATAAAACTACCTTATGATGACTTATTAAATACTTAAGCATAATGTACTAATTTTAAAATCATTTGCAACAAAAATCAAAATATTTTTTCGTATTCAGCTAAACTGCATATTAATGCAGAAAGCATCTATCTCACTCTAAATTAGAAGTATAAATGTGTCTAGCAAAAAAAGCAAAATTTACCTCTTTTTACAATTACATATGCAAATCTCAAATAGAGGAAAGATGTTCCAAGAAATGCAGAGAATTGTTGTTTTCTGTTTCATGCAGAATATAAAAAATATCGATAATTCACGAAATTTATTCTTATAACAAAAGGAAATACTAGGAACTTTCTATAATTATAGTATATTATAATGGCATTTATTGTTTTAATATGAATAAGAGATGAAAGTCCTTAATTCACAAAGCTGGAACTTTTGCTTAAAATCCTTATGTGCAGCTTTAAGACCTTATTTCAGTATTTTAAAGCTGTAAAAATGTTCTCAAAATATATGAAATGTCATATATCCATCTCCATAGACATTTCCGTCATGCACACCATACTGGGTAACCCCAAAAAATATTTTCTGGCTCTATCCAGATAAGGTTACAAAGCAGAAAATGAGATGAATCATGATTGGCCTTTCAGGAGTACACAAGCATACAGTTCTTCAGCATTTAAAGTGTGGTACTGCTTTTAGAATCCCAGAAATGTTCTTTTGTGAGAAGAAATGATTAAGAACAGATCACTATCTTATGCTCTCACTGAATCCCTTTACACCACTTATTTCTATAAATATCCAAAATAAGAAGATAGCTCCAGAGACAGAAGTTTGACTGCTGACTATACACTGCAGTGATCATCTTGATTTGTAGCTCTCAGGTTAGTGCTCTGGAACTGTAGTCAAAGTATAATTTCAGCTATATTCATTCAGCTTGTCTACTTCAGTTTGAAAATATTCTGCTCCCAGTTTTTCTGCTGTTTACCTTTTAAAGACTTTAACAATGGTAAAAAAAAAATATCATTTTACAAAAAATAAAACTTCAGCTTCAGTTGTTGATTTTCACTGAGAGCTAATGTTTATAAAGGCAACTTGCTTAAAAATGAACCACATAATACCTTAATATTTATTTAAGTGAAGGCAATTTTCATTGAATACTGGAAATGAGTTACCCCCTTTCTTTTCCTTATTTACATAAATAAATAAAAACTTCACACAGATTACACTTTTATACACCTTCAAAACAATCCCTGTTTCTGCAAATTTAGTCTAGGATGACATTTAATGTCGTTAGTGCGATAGCAAAACTAATCTTTTTTTAATTATACTAGCTGATAACCGGCATTCATTGTAGCGCTACTTAAAGGAAAGAAAGTGTTTATGTTTTAATTCTGTTTATTGAAATGTTTTTGGATACACAATATTTTTTTTTCCATCTGGTGCAAGCAATTTCACATTTCTACCCACATAGCAACATTCCTGGTAATTCATTCTTAAATTTTAGGGCTGTGCAATACATTATAATTTATTCATCTTTCCAATGACCACACTTGATGAAGATTATAATTATAATTAGCATCATAATGGAATGCACCAAAATTTAAACCAGCATGCTGCATTCGTCTAGGTAAAAAAAGCAGTGCATACTTCAATATTTTCCAGTCTTGCTTCCTGTTGCTTGTTTGTTTCATACGAATGGGCTCGAGCAGTACACATACTCAAACATTTTCCAGTCTCGCTTCCCGTTGCCAGTTTGTTTCTGAAGCCTGTGGTGCCCTATTTTTATTGTGCTTAAGGTGCAAATCGAGCAATCGATTTTTGCTCTAGCTGCATAATTAATTTCAAAGAAAAAGTAACACTTTATGACTACTATTACAAATTCACTTTCAAAACCAAAGAAAATGCGCATGTTGCAATAACACACATGTGGATGTGTGCGTGTTACTGCATGAAAAATTAAATATTTTTGCTTTGCTGAACAATAACACACTTTGAAATATTTAAATTTGGGCAGTAATTAATATAATTACATTTTCTTGAGTGGAATAAATTTTTTTATATTGCCGAGTATTCTGATTAAATTTGAAACATATATATCTTATGCATTTGCAGAGTGGCAATGCAAAGCTTTCAGATCGCTGAGTTTTTAATCAGAAGTTCATTAAATTTGCATAAAATATATGTGTATTCAATTCTGGGGGGGGGGAGTGGACGTCAACATTTCCCAGTACCCAGAAAAGAACTGTAGAAAGTTTGGTGACAATAACTGTAGTACTGAATCAGTGTATCTTGAACAAATACACAAATCCTTTCCAGTCCACACACACGATACACAAATCTTTTCCAAAGTCCTTTCCAGGAAGAGAGTTTTATTCAAAACTGAATGCATACATTTTTGTACTATTAAATACTATAGGGGGAAAATATTAATTTTTATCACATCAATGGAAATTTATTTCATGAAATACATTCAGTAATATTACTAGACTAGTGACATACAGTTACTAGATTATTTTAAATTGTACTTGTATTCATAACTATTAAATGATTAATGTAATCATAACCATTAGGTAATTAATGCATTCACAGCCATTTAATGTTCAATGCATTCACGATCATTATCATTCTAAAATATTCACAGCTATTACATAGTTACGAGGACAAGCAGGATTGAGAATGTCTAATGAATTTGTTTCACTCTTGAGGAATTTAACACTATAATTAAAATTTGCAAATCTGGTAGAATGCAGATTTCATGAAAACTATTTTCAGCAAATGGGATGAAATTATAACCTTTTTTCATTTAATTTTGCATTACAAAAGCTTTCCAGTGCATCAAAATTTTAAAGATTTATAAGAAAAGAAAATTAAGAATGCTGTTTTTTGCCCATGAAGACCTCCTATGAAGGGGCAGACAATTTACATACATGCCTTCTCTGGGATTCAAACCAGGGCCCTTCGGTACTGTAGTCAAAGTCACTACCCACGTTCCTGTCCGGGCAGCCAAGAATTACGAATCCAAATGCAGAATATATAATTTTCTATCATTTACCTTAGAATCATTATAGATATTAAAATACAGTCCAAAGTTTTTAATCCGGACTCGATGGGACTTCGGCGATTCTGGATTATAGATCATCAGTTTAAATCTGGTAAGATCGCATGCAGAAATTATAAAATTAAAAATATGAAACTGTAATTTATGAAATAAAGAGATATTATGATCTAAAGGGTATCAAAATTTACAAAAAAAAAAAAAAAAAAAAGCTTAATATTTGTTTATTTTATTAAACATTTCTTTCAACATGCGCATGCGTAAAGCATACATTGCACATAGTCGAAATTAGAAAATTGCAACCAGAAAACTATTTGATGTGTATTTGTGATATTTATAATGACGAGGAATTTGATTTAAATCATATGAAAGACGGAGTACATCGAGATGAAATACTACATTTAGTATGGAATTATAAGCCGAATAAAATAAAAACATCTGCCCTGAAGATAAGGATAGTGCTGACAGATCAACTTCCAGTTCATTGTGCGCTGCGATGTCAGTTCATTGTGCGTTCCCCCCGCCCCTCCGGCAGAGCAGCGTGAAATTGATAAACAGATTTTGGAATGGTTAGAGAAACAAAGGATATGTCTTTATCCTTTTTTTTTTTTTTTTTTTTTTTTTTTTTGCAGCAATTCCACTTTTAGTTTGATGGACATCGAAACATGATTTTGCTTTGTAGATCCTTTGGCAGCTCCAAAATCGGAAGTTCTTTCTGACATAATCGAAAGTTCAAGCTTACTTTTATAAAATTGCTCTAACAGTCTGCAAAAAATAATAAGCCGGATCCAATTAGAAGATTAAGGAACAACGTAATCTGCAACATTAACTGAAATAGATAATTAGATAATTTTAGCTTAGCTTATACCATCCGTTATACATTAAAAGCACATGCGTAAATGTATTATGCACATGCGTAAACGCATATGTGCATATGTAAACGTATTATGTGCATGTGTAAACGCATCATTTGCTACAAAATCATTTGTGTAAACGTATCATATGCTACAAACTTTCTGCGCATGCGTAAACGCATCATGCATTTATGCATGCACAGAAAGTTTGTAGCCTTGAGGTCCAGATAATAGATCATTCCGGATTAAAGACTTTTGACTGTACATCTTCAATCAAAGTTAATATTAGTTACCTGATTAGCACCAACATCTTCATCCCAGCTATCCTCCCAGTCTTGAGTTGTTTCATTCTCTTGCCTACTTAATACCTGCATATCATCAGCAGAGTATTCAGACGTACGAAGTGATGATTGCCCAGATCCATCAGATACAGAATTGTTTAGAATCTGTAAAATCATAACATTATTTTCAAACAGAATTAACGATTTTTGCATAAACACTTGAAAACATAAATAGTAACTTCTAAAATTATTTTTAACATTTGTGCCCACACATATAGTAATGGGAAAACTACAAAAATGCATAAAAATTCAGTTACCTCAACATATGTTGATGGAAATAAACCACAATCTCCATTACTATTTTTACCTTCCCACCAACCACCACCAACATCCTAAAAAACATAATACAAAATTACGTACAGCTGAAAAATAAAGCATATACATTCCTTTCACTGAATTGAAGTACCTGATAATCTTGGACAAAAGGTAAAAATATGTTATTATGAAACACATACACTTAAGCAATTAGAGAAGATTTGCTTGCTTCTGCACTCAGGTTTTGTGCATAACTAGTAATCAAAACTTAATGTTCAATAGTAGTTTTCAGGTTGCTATGCACACCAATACCAGCAGAAGTAAAACATTAATTTCTATGTTGTACTTAATAGAGCATACATTTACTGAATACCTTCTGATTATCCTCCCCGCAAAAATGGCAAAAAAAAAAGTATTCATGAAGCAAAGCAGTATGTCATCAAAATAGTTATATGGCAATCCAATGAAGCCATGTTTTTGCAATTCTCTGATGTTTCTTGAAGAGGAAAGAGATCACAAATTGTGCATACGGGAAGAACTACAGAGCAAAAAAAGATTTCTTTAAAAAGGTATTTTATTACCAATGTATCTTGCTTTTTTTTTAATTTTATTGATTGGTTCCTCTTGCCTAGAATTCTTAGCATGCCACTATTTTGAAAATGGCTGATGCTTTTGTGTATTTGCTTGATGTAAGATTAGTTACAATGAATTCGCTAATGCTAAACAAAGCCACCGAAAGTTAATGAGTTTTTGGTGGGAGTAACATAGTAACAGGTAACAAATTCACACATATTTATTTGAATTTATTGAAAATTCTTAATTAAAAAGTTTAATTATTGCAAAAATGTACGAAATGAACAACAGAACTTTGTACTCACAGAAATTTATTGAAAATACATTACATGGCTTTGTTTGAAAGTCTGCAAGCAGTTTTTTTTTTATCTGTATATTGAAGTCACTGATTTTAAGTCCTTCACTGTCAACAACAGGTATCATGATTTTTTTTTTTTTTTTTTTTTAATTGGGAGATTTATTTTACTGCATCTGTGTAGTTTTATTTTGTTCCACATTTCATACAGCTCTTCTGCATCTTGCTCAACGCTTTCCAAGCTATTTTTGTTAAAGCTCACATCATCAACTACAGTTGAATTAAGACTTTACCTCATCATCATTGTCTTCAGTACACAAGTTTTTATCGGTATTTAAATATTTTTTCATTCAAGCACTGCCACTGATTATGAAAAGTTCATGCATTTCATTTTCATCGATAAGTAGTTCATTTTCATCAGTAAGTAGTATTTTCACTGTAGTATCACATTTCAGAGTAGTATTTTCACTGAAGGCAATCGAAACCGGAATTTCAAAGCCTCCTTTCTTAAAACAGTACTGAAAACAACTTTGTGATATCGACTTAACAGCTTTTGTTATCCACTGAATGGCATTCAATACATTAATGCATTTTGCAAGCTGATTATTGTTTCTGCAAGCAGCTTGACAAAGAGCATGCCATAAACAAACAATTTCTGTAATGAACATTGATGATACTAATTATAACTTGGTGACAAGCTGTAATACTGATGTTGCATTTATCTGGGGATTTGATAGGCGGGCTAGCAAATTTTCAAGAAATGGCAAAATCTTCCTATTTCTTCTGGACACTGTTTTATCAAGGGCAAGCAACCATTCTGACATTATGCTTTGCATCAGGCATGATTTTTTTTTTATTGTGATGCCATTCCTATTTTTTCTAGACTGATTCATCAAGGACAAGCAACCATTCTGACATCACGCATGATTTTTTGTGATGCCACTGGACAGATCAAAGCTTTTAGATGGATGCATTTGAAGCATCCCGGTTTTTGTGGTCTTTTCAATTACAAGTTACCGTTCAAACTCATCTTCCATGTTACATGCATCACAGTGAGATGCTTTCTTACAGCTCACCACAGCATTTTTCTCCTTTGAAGCATAGAGTTTTATTAGGCAAAATTCCATAAAATAATACAGTTTCATCTGCATTGCAGATGATTTTAGCCTCATATTCTTCACAGATTTCACTTAGCTTTTTTATCCAGTCTGTTACATGTTGTATACCTACAGATTTCTATCCACTACAAATTCTCTTAAAAGTAATGTTATGTCTTTGCTTAAATTTGTCTATCCAAGCATTTGATACTTACGTTCTGTAGTCCCAGACTTTCCAAAATTTTTGCCTTTTGTTGCAATAATACTTCACTCACAGGAATATTGTTTGTGCTTACAGAACAAAGCCAACTGAACACTTATGTATCAATTTAACATGCATCAGTTTTTCTAAATTTTACTGTTTTGGAATCTTCACTTGAATTAGTAATCCATAATATTTTTATTTCTTCTCCACCTTTCAGCATGACTTACTTGATTTCAACTCATTCTAAATTTCTCCCTTATATCCATCAAACTAAGCTTTTCAATTTCTGCAACATGAATTACATCAACTTTTTGTTTTAATGTTAAATTTTTCCTCTTTGTAGAAATGCTAGGCAACATAAAAATAAAACAAAAGTACAAAACTACACAGTTTTTGCTTCCTAGTCCTAACAACAACTAAAAATGATAGTTTTCACTCTATTCACATTGTGAGATTCCAGTGCCTTGGCAGGTGGTCCAGTCATCTCACCACCTTTGCTCTTCCACTGGTCCTTGCCTTGAATTGCCTTAAAACTTGCTAACAGTGTTTCCTTTCCTATAGTGAGAACTGTAGCAAGAACTGGATTTTGAATTCTATGAATGGGACATATCTTTTTTTTTATTGCACCACAATTTGCTTCTTCCCAACATACTGTTCCCCTTTTCCTTACTGAAAAGCAGTTTTCAAGAGAGAGATTAACTTTTTACTTTATTGTTCTTTATCACAAAACTGTAGTGTTCCCTTTTTCCCTTCTGAAAGTAGTTTTCAAGAGATGGATTAACTTTTTATTTTACTGTTCCCTTATTGCAAAACTATCTGTCACTGAGCAAAAACTCGCCTTCGATACTGTGGGAGAGTATTTTTATTCCGACGAGAAAATTTGCATGCAGTATCCACGTTTGCTGCACTGTACCCACATGCACTCATTGCAGTGCAAGTACAAAGATGTGAACTCTTTGCTGAGCGACTCACTTTGCACCCATACTTCACTGTTCCTACTTGTTCATGGTAGACATTTGGCATTGGCTTATCATTATGTATTTAGTTTTGTGTTTATCTTTCACTTCTAAATAAAATTGATTTTATAGTTTACCTTCTTCAACCTTCCTTTAATGTCTACCTTAAGTCTTCAACCTTCCTTTAACGAACCTTCTGACAAGTTTGGAGTATTGTGATGAAAACCATTGCCACATTTGGTGACCAAAGAAGAATGCTGCAGTTATGTGTGGCCATAGTGAAGTCCTCGAAGAAGGTGAATATTGGGATTGCATGGCAGCAGTATCTGTGCAAATGATTCTGTTCTGGAGCTGCAAATCAGGAATATTTCAGTGAAAGTACTTATTACTTAGTACGTCAGTGCTGCTATTGGACATTTTTCACGGGTTATCCTGTGTTTGAATGCAAGTAGGACTTCAGGAGTTGACTTTTCTTCCACATTAATGTATACAGTATTCTTTTATGTGGTTAAAATTTTATATTTTCATTGATGAGCACTTTTATTTCAGTGAATGTCCCTAATAGGTATGGATGTGTGATAGGTTTCCTATCCTTTTACGTTATGTTTTGGTATTAATATTTGTAACACTTAGTTGTAGAAAGTTGTTTATGTTTCATAATGAAAATTCCGCTGATGACACTGCAGCTGAGAATGCAGTGGCTACACATGTGACGCATGTTTCAGTAAAATTACCGCCTTTTTGGAAAACAAACCCTACCCTAAGGTTTGCCAGAATGGAATCACAGTTTTCCCTTTCCAACATAACTTTGGATTTAACAAAATTTCACCATGTTGTTGCTGCAGCAGAGTCTAATATATTTAATTCCATTTGCAATAACATTTTAAAATCTCCCTTTACTGGAAAATATGATGCCCTAAACAGTCTCGGATCTAAGGGGGGGGACAAGACGGGGACTGTGCCCTGAACATCAACTTCTGGGGGCAGCAAATTCAAAAGCAGTGCTGGATAGTATTTGGAATGTTGTCAAAATTTGATACAACATTAGTAGTTTCAAAGCCAGGTTTAAAAACTCTGAAATATTTATAATTAATTACTCGGAAACCTTTTTATGGAACAAGCAGTTAAAAGCAAGCTAAGTACAGCCGAATATGACTCTGAAGACAAGACCAGAGAGAGGAATAGAAGGACTCCAGGCGTCACTCGGAAGGTCAGACGAACCTGTCCCTCCACCAACCCAACATGTAATTTTATTACAAAGGTACTCCGTAAACGCCTTGGTCTTTGGTCCTTGTAAGCGATGCCTAGAGTCCCTCTGTTATCCTTTTGCTAGGCGGGGATATTCAAATAAGAAACAGAATGATAGTATAGAGGTGCCTCGTTTTCATGCCGCAGCCTCTTGAGAAATAAATGGAGAAGCATTGTACTCTTTCCTGACACACAATACAAATTAACCTTGGACCAATTTGGACCATTGAAATAATTCAAATTAATGTTCGTAGAGAATATACAATAGAAATGAAGTAAGGCATTTTGATTTTTTGCAGCCAGTCAGCAATTTAGGTTTTAAAAATGCGTTTATTATTTTTATAGCTTTTAAAGCTTTTTTAGTTTGGAGGTTTTTTTTTTTTTTTTTTTTTTTTTGTCATTCCCTTTTAATGTGCGTGCTTCTGGTATTCCTCACCATATTTAGCAAGACACAACCATTCAGCTAGCGCGCACATCTGCGACATGGCCCTACGACTGCTGAGTGTAATTACATCAATTTTTAGCTTTATTTATTAAGGCAAATTATATTGTATATTATTGAGGGTAAAAGAAATCATAAGAGAGTCCAAAAACTCTCAGGGGCAGCATATACAAAAAGAACAAAAGATAGGATCGAACAGAGAAAACAAATTGCAACTAAAATGAAAAAAATCACACAAAAGGCAAACCGTCAGACCCTGCC